CACACAAAATCGCGGCAGAGATTAAGATACTATATCAAAAGTATGTTTCCCAACGATACGATGATACACACAAGACATATAACGACACCGCTTTTTTGTATCAATTTAGCTGTTGAAAACAAAAGTATACTTTTTACTTCAGTTTACTTGGGCTTTGTTGTTTGCCCTCCTTGCGATACAATATTTCCGAGTCATATACATTGATTCATTACATGCAAAATACTTTGAAATAACCAAAATAACCTTGACAAATGCAACTCGTAAAAATTATGCGGGATGCAGTCGGAATTATGTATAAAGCAACATGTATAACGTGTCATTGACCCGTTGCAACGGTTGAACAGAAAAGTCGCGAGCTTATTCGAATCTGCTAGATCAAATGGCGAATAAATACTTCGAGTGTAAGAAAAATGCAAGAAGGAAAAATAAAGAGGCTCTATCGAGCGATCGAGATTCTCTAGTAACCGTCAAATTTACCGGGACGATACTTGGGAGAATAAAAGCGACATATTGGACAGAAAGAAAAGCCTCAGTAAATTCCAATTGTGCACAATTATAAAAAGAATTAATTTGTCGCGTTCGCAAAGTATTCATCCATAATTTAATCGATCCTGCACTGTTATTCTGTACCGCGCGCAATGTATCTGCTCTTCTATTTACAACAACGAAATCTACATAACATCGACAAAGAATTCACAAGGATTTCCCATCGCAATGCGAAATGACTGTCTACTACCAGATAAGTCTTGCTGATTCTGCTGATTTCCCGAGCCTGTTCCTGTTTGAACAGATTGTTCGGAACCACTGGAACGACTGCGGCTACCGTTGGATCTTTTTCCGTTCGATCCGTTACCGTTGCCGGAATTTTTGCTGGGCATCGATGGCACCGATGGATTATGCAACTCTGATTCTGATGCCGAAGAGCACGATTTCAAGTCGTGAATGGGTTCCTTGCAAATGCGTTCACTACCGGCGCTGCTTCCACCTACCGATCGACGAATAAACGCGCATGTGAGAATGATAAAAGAAAACATACCTAAAGAAAGGATTTGTATACATATATACATACATATATATATATATATATATATATATATATATATATATATATATGCATGCATGTATGTATGTATGTATGTATGTATGTATGTATGTATGTATGTATGTATGTATGTATATATGTATATATAATCTTACCCGAACCACTGTGCACGCTCTCCTCTCGATGGTAACCGTAGACGGTGGGCTCGTTTGTAAAATTGAACGGCATAGGACTGTAACCTGTCGCCGAATGTGGCGCGTACGTTCCCGAGTAAGGCATGTCCCAAGCGTTCGGCGGTGGCAAAGGACCAACCGTATCACAATCCAATTTCATGCTACTCATGGCTGAACACAAATCACCAAATATGTAATAGCATTGTTCGGAAAATGTTATTTTGTTCACTGTGTGCCGAATGAAGCCAGCCTTTAGCATGAGCGACGCATATTTTCTAGCGTCGCGGCGATCGATAAATCCTTCCACGTGAGTATTCAGCCAGTCCACAACCTCTGCACCGATGAACGCATTCGGAATGGTTATTTTGAGCCACATGCGATCGCGTATCTCTAATCCCGAGTCGGACCGAGCCATTGCTCGTACCACCGTCGGCATGTCGGTATTGACGGTCAGATGAAGCTCTTCTAAGGGACCTGCAACCCAATAACAGTACAGGTTTTACGACAAGACTAAAGGGAGAAGAAAAAAAAAACGACTGGTCATCGTTATTGACTTACGTTCGGTATCTGGCAACGTGCTCGCGAGACTGCTCGACGTCGAAGTTAATGTTGTGGCACTTGGTGGACGAGGCGGGAAGCCTTCGCCACGTATCGCGGCTGTGTGCGCTACCCATGCACCAGGATCTATAGGACGTACCGGTTCTGTACGAGGTATCGTAAAGTAACCTTTCGGATTCGGATCCCAACATTTTGCAACTACAAGCTTTATTGGTCTAAAAGAAAAAAAGATAACAGAAAGAAAAGGAAAAAAGAGAGAAAACGCAAGAAGAGACGTTTCATATGTGACTATAGAAATACCTAGAATCGTGACGCTTACCCTGGTTTCTGTACTACCTCACGCAACACTCTCACTGCTTCGTCGTTCGACATATTTTCGAAATTAATGTCATTGACCTGAAGAATCATGTCACCGGGTTCTATTCGACCATCTAAAGCAACCGCTCCCCTGTTTCGAGCAAGTTTCAAACAATAGGATGTGTTACAACACGGACAGCATACTTATCCAAAAATAAATATTATTAAGCGCGAATCTAATTCTTTTCGCTCTGTTCCCACATATGGTCTAGTACAGAGATTGTACCTGAATAAATAAACTCGCATTATGTCGAGCTCGTCGGAGTATACTAACCCTTTCATTATCGAGCCAACATATATTCCCCCATCTCCACCCTTGTTGCTTTGACCAACGATACTGATACCCAGAAAATTAACAGTGTCCATGTTGAGCGAAACAGTTATAATATTTAAAGACATTGTACTGTCGGTAATACTACTAAATGACGATGTTCGGGACATGGGTGGTAATCTGTGCCGCCGTCTTCTCTGTGGTCGACGTCGATCTGTGAGAAAAAATTACCAGACTCGGTACATGCATTAGGTCCAAATCATTGTCCACATTGCCCTCTGCTGAAAGACCTTTTTTGCAAGCGCATTATATTCACTCACTCACTCACTCACTCTCACACAATCTCTCTCTCTCTCTCTCTCTCTCTCTCTCTCTCTCTCTCTGTGTGTGTGTGTGTGTACAATACCCTTTGCATCGTTTCGATTCTTTCTTACCCAGAGTACCCCTATCGACCGCGCTGCTCATATTGGTGTGCCGGCCTGTCGTCGATGTGATACGACTACTTGCGTCGTCGTCAGATTCCAAAAACGTTGTTGTTTCTAAATCCGAGCTGAGAATGGAAGCAGTTTCATACCCGTGACCCGAGCGATGCTTTGAATGACCATTTATACGAAGTCCTGCAAGAATATAATGCAAAACATGAAAAAACAAATAAAACTCCCAATGTACGTTTATTCACAGATTCACTATGCATAGCATAGCCTACCATTGTACTTGTTGTATTTTTCATATTTCTCCGAATGATGCCTCGAGCTTTTATGCAAATGGTGTCCTTGTCGACTACTTATGATACTTTCTGTCTCTGTCAATGTGTCATCATGTGAAAGCGGTGCAGTTCCTCTGTTACCATGTCCAGGAGTCGCATGATCCACACGGTCATGCTTGGCTTCACTGTGTGCCATAGAGTCTGTACATTGGGATGCACCATCTGAGACATTGCTACCTTCCGCTGATACCAACTGTCACAATAAATTATATATTAAATACTGTACAAGGTATACCAATTAAAAATTTTGTTTTAGAGAAGTGTAAAATGATAACTGTGTGTACGTGAACGTATAAGCCAAAAAAAGTATCCATAATGTTGAAGTAACAATATTTGAAAAGCACATTTGTAAATCTTACCCAAGACACAACTCGACCATTGAAACACGGCAGGTGAGCATCGTCATCTATAATTTCTTCTTTAACCACACTGGAACAAGGAAAAAGAAGCTCATTTAATATAAGAAGACATTATTGACATTGCATCCAACAAGTTGTCTACATTAGACAACAGACATTGATTGTATGTATGAGCAGTACGATGCGACTTGACACGATAGAAATGTTAATGGTGAAGAAAATTGTTTATAGGGGCAATCTCTCGCGCATTAAAATCACACTCTTAGCCGTAACGAATGTAAAGCGCGGCGCTGCGCGACGGTGCAGTGCAGCGCGATGCGATGTGACGCGACGCGTCAATGCGATGATATACCTATCGTCGTAGTTGGTAAGATATAAAGAAAGCGGCCAACGAACGCGATACAATGAAATGCCGTGAAACAATCACTTCGATACTTACCCAAAGTCGTCGTCCATCGACTTGAAGAAATATTTGTAATTCGGCCGATTTAAGACGTTCTTGAAATCGGCCAGAGTCACTCTCTCCGGCGATATGTTGAGCTTCACCAGATACGGCGTTTCTTCGTCATCCATGTGGTAGATAATCTTCGTTTCCTCCATCGTCGAAGCGTGTGTCACACTGGGTTCATTCGCGATATAAAAGCGATACGCACGGATCCTACTGACTAGGACGATACTATTCTCTCTCAAACCAATATGGCGCGTCGTGCATCGAGCCAAAGCCCTGTCGCATACAAAGCTCGCAGCATGTTCACGCGTCGATGAGACGCTCGCGGATCCCGTGGACGAGAATGAAGCTGCGACAATATTCTCACTAAGAGCTCATCGGCACTATCCTTCGTGTTACGTATATTTGTGGCAATCGTGGCGATGAATTAAATGTCAACATAGCCGTCGTAACGTTGCACGCACTCGAGCATTCACTCATTGACACTAGTCAACATTCGCGCACCACCAAAGTGCCACCAACGACATCTGTCTGTACCTACACCCAGGGTAGACAACTCCTCGCGGTCTAACCATCTATAAAATACACTGCTAAAATCTGACTCCCTAAATGCACATCTGTGCCGTGTCTGGATAGACCTTTAATTTCGCGTGTGTGTAGACATGTACACATAGGGCGCGTCCCACTTAACGCTCGTAACGACGCGAGCGTCATTCTATCTTTGTTGCTCATTGAATGTTAAACAAAGATAGAATGACGCTTGCGTCGTTGCGAGCGTTAAGTGGAACACACCGCATACTTGCAAAACACGGTGTTTCGCGCCCTCGCCGCGAGACCTTCAAAGTTCAAAAATTTGAATTTGCTCCTACAGACCCTCAAGGGGCTGAACACAATAAAAGGAATTAAAGTACAAGGAATAACAAGAAATAACGCTATTCCTCTGAGCCTCTATTCTTCGTTGATGAATTAGGTTTCATGTTTTAATATTGAACCGTTCCCTATTCTCTGTTTCCTGTTCTCTATTCTCGATTCCCTATTCCTTATTCCTTTTATTGTGCTTAGCCCCTAACTTTCCCTCATCGGAGTTCGGCATTTTTCGAGGACAGCTCACTTCATCTTACAAATTCAATTGTGATCCCATTCCATGGACACTTTTGCACATAGATTGTTTACGCGAAAAGGTTAATTTCTCACAATAAAAAAAATAAACGTTTCGAACGGCGAGACAATCACTCTACGATAAAATGATGTTTTCCTTCGCAACAGCAAGTACACAAGATATTATGTGCCGCATATAATGAATGAATTTTGTACAACTCAGCAGAGTTATGAGAAAAAAGTAATCCAATTAGACATATCTATTTCTTTATTAAAACATACTCCTTTTTTTTTAGCAATATACTCACTGAGAAATAACAGAATGGCATATGGATTAAGCTCTCCAGCAGCCACATATAACATACATACGCTTGCTGAAAATACATGCACCCAAAAATTATCACGTTGTGTTGCCTAATTTTTATCGTAGGCTTTCAACCCTTCTTTATGTTAGTTGCATTACTACCTAATAGAGTGAAGTCTCGATATAAGTTTTAATAAACAAGTAGCGGTCAATTGATTTTACGATCGTTGCTACGATTGTTTGTACTGTGATCGAATTTATCGAGCATATCGAGACGCAAAAAGGAGCCAACAATGGATCTAGCTGTGGATCCTCTACCGAGGCCACCTTCTACGGAGCTTGCGCTGCTATTGGTCTTTCCGATTTTCACGGGTTTTGTTACTGCCCATACATTCACAGCAAATTTCAACTCTGCCACTAACGCCTCCCATGGTGTGATCTGTGCAAGGTGAAATGAAAACGTGAGCGAAATAAAGCTTGACTGCTTGTCGGAAAAGAAAGAAAAGCCTTACTTTCTCCCTCACTGCAACTTTTCGTATGTTCCACAGGAATTCACAAATAGCAATGATCAATGACGCGCCGCAGCCGCACATAAGAACGAGGAAGACGCCACCAACATTCGGCAAACCTTAGGGTAATATTCATATATAGTCAAAACTTATATTCAAGATTGCATTAAGCTCATCTTTAGACGCCATAAGGACTGTTTAACTACGGAACATCTCGGAAAATGAGATGATCTTATAGCTCCTGCACACAGGACGCGGTAATGTTTGCTACGCGGTGGAAGTTCGCGCGACAGCCAATCAATATGCTGCTTTCCGTAATAACTTTCTAGGTCTTACGGAAAAACAACATATTGATTGGCTGTCGCGCGGCAAGTATTACCGCGTCCTGTGTGCAGGAGCCATTAAATTCAAGACCTGATTAGTTAGGAGATACCACGTGAGAGGACTCTGCATCCTCTCTCCGCAGCCATCTTGTGATTATAATAACTTCAAACCAGCGAGAAAACGTATGTCCAGAATTCTTGTAATACATCGAAATAAAAGATCATGTCCACGAAATGACACTTGTGATTGATCGAGTACATGTGTAAAATATTCCGAAAACTTTTCTTTCACTTTAACAATCGACAAATAGTTGTAAAATTAACGTGACAAAGTCGTGAAAAGTAGACTAAAAAGAAAAGTCGTATGTCACGTTAACTCTTAGTGGCTTCCTAGATAGGACAAATGCCCAAAATCGAGTCATAAGACGTCTTTAGGACGTCTTTAAGACATCTTTAAGACAATACTTTATAAACTTGTTTTAAAAATGTTTTAAAGATGTTTTAAAGACGTCTTATGACCCGATTTTGTGCTGTCTGGATTATGTGAAAAACGACACAGCATGTAGTCTTACATGATCTACATGTCTTTCGAGTCTGGCCTTTTTGTCATATCTTTAAAATGGTTCGAAAAATCTGTAAAAATTCACGGATATACTTTCTATTTAGTTTCTTGAACAAATATCTATACTTCATTGTACATTTTTAGGAGGGAGCAAAAATCCAGGACCCTTCGTGCTGAGAAATTTCTATGAATAGAAACCGTCCGAAATACCCATGTAGGGCCACTGGCCTGAGTTACATCGTCAAAATGTTAGTACCCGTATTAAATTTGATGCGCACCAATGCTTTAATACGGGTATGTTTACATCGAACGTACTAAAAGAAAAATATAATACGAATTTAATTCAGTCAGATAATTAATTCAATTAGTCGATTAGACTAATTAATTCAATTAGTCGATTGCCTCCTAGTGATGGTATTTAGAATTGCAATTTGCTTGAGATAGCTTTGTTCGACAGACAAAATGTATAATTCTAAAAATGTTCTCATTTCTTCTTCTCTCTAACTTATAACCCTTTTCACAAGACATTTTACTATAATTTAAGAGAAACCAACGGTTACCGATAACACCGATTTTAACTAGGTTAGGTTTCCTCCAACATTGGTTTCATACGTTTACACCATCATTTGTATCATTTGATACGCGTATTAGTTTAATATGATATTCTTATTCGGTACGTTCGTACCAAATTGATCCATCAGTGTTTATTGATCCATCGTGCGTATTAAATATTTAGTACGAATTTGATACGAATATAGTATCTGGGGCTCGATTCTCTAACTAGTTACGTAAGTTTTACTGCGCAGCTATTTTATGATATGATTAAATCTGCGCAGTAAAACTTACGTATACACAACTATTTCAAGAATAAGGGCCCTGATACGCGTATCAAGTGTCCGATGTAAACCAGGCCACTAAGGGTTAATTGTACGGTTCGGAATATTTTATAAATGTGCTCAATCGATCCCAAGGATCACTTTATGGCCATATCGTTCATATTTCGCAAGAATTGTAAGTATGTGTTTTTCCCTCACTTTTTGTTGTCGTCTCATCAATTGAGAATCGAGAGCGACGAGGGATTAGGAGCTGCAATGACTGAAATAACGAAGCGGATCTTTCGTGATATATTCTGACTCTCATTTAAAGAACTCTAGCAAACCTAATTCGCTCGTGCTGGCGCTCTTTTCCGTGATGTCCTTTTCGCATAATCCGCCACCCATTTCTTGCCACCATTTTCGTTTAAGTTCCTGCAACTTGCCTTTCTCACCTAACGTCAAGATTGCACCGCTGATTGGCGTTCTGTACGGTGAATCTGAGGAAAGATTAAACGACGCTTGCATCACAGTCTTGTCGCAATCATTTTTCTTTCAGCAATTCTACCAGTGTAATTTATACAAAGCTAAGGGAAGAACAGAAAGAAATTTCTTGGAAACAGCAATATGTAGTTTAGTAATAGTACGATTTTCAAAAATCATCTCTCCCTCTCATCAACGTCGGTTTACATGTTTCACTTTATACATTTACGGACATTATAGCTTTTCGACTCACTGCGCGGCAAGGCTATGCCATATCCCTTGTTGTCGATGAGGCCACCAATTTTCTCTATTTCACAATTCCTTTCCATTCGGTACTCGATAGAGGTAGATTCCATCAAAAATGCATACGTCCGCTTGCTTTTGATCACTCGTTCGACACCTACACAATAATAAGTAAGTGTTTTTGAACGAAAACAAAAAGCGTTTGAACACCCACCTTCCTCATTGTCCTTGGTAAATACACTGGGCCTCGTTTCTGTCATCGCAGCCCACATCCTCTTATATGTCGAGTAATTGGAATCCTACCAGAAAAGATTCATTTATATTAGTATGTACTACTATTAATTGTATGGTGTTGCGACTGACAGTTACAATGTCACGATTACCCGGAAGAAATTGGCCGTCGAACCTCTCCCGACGGATCCGTATTTGATCTTGGTTTGCTTAGCCAAGTCTTCAACGCCTTTAATAGGCGTGTCCATCTTGTCCACGGTGAGAAAAGCGGCTAGATTCGCGGTATACGAGGATATCATAATCAACGTGAAGAACCACCACATACTCGCGAGCATTCTAATCGATGGCGCTCTGAAAATGCATTGAAACTTTGTTTGCTGGCGCAATGAAAATCTGTCAGTACTTACTTGGGCAAAATATCGGATCCTTGCTGCATGAGAGAACCAATAGTCAGCCACATCGAATTCTTCAGGTTAAAATTATTTTCCAGTTCTTCGGGATCTGCATTGCACGGATGTGGATTATCCCACTCGCCAGGTGCCATTCTTTAACGAAAAATAGAATCGTAGCGGAGCATACGACTATCGTTCGATAGATTTCTTACCTTGCTTGCAGAAACAGCATTATCGACACGGCGAGATAAGCAGTCGCCATATAAATCCAAACGTCGGCTGACAAGGGTGATAAGAAGGAGAAAAGATTCGGTACTTTTTCTTCCGGCTTGCTGAACAAGATGCTGATACCTAATTAAAATACGTTACATACGTTACACTTTTCGCACAACTTTATAAAAAACAGAAGAAATCTTGCAATTGTGTCTCAGCTTTATATTACTTGTTAACGATACCCAAATTCATGAAGGGCATGCTAAAGTCGACAGCAGATTCTCGTTGGTACGTGATAGTGAGATCGCATATCGCAAGATCGGCTTCCTACAAAGGAGAGAAGAAAGGATAAGAAAACATATGGGAAATTAGAAACTCTTCTGCGAGAACATTTTACATATCATATACGTTACATACACGATCCAGAAGACGTTTTATCAATCCGTCCCACATCTTCGTCTTAACATTGTAACTACCGTACTGGCCATCTGGAACGAGCTCGAATTTATACTTAAAGTTTAAATGCTTTGCGATATAATCGATCAGATCGATGCAGTAGCCTTCGTAGCGCTTCTGATCAATCAATATTCCTCGTGTCGACCCATCAGTCACCTCCATCACATAAGGTGCGCCCTGAATTGTACGCAGAGTTATACTTTGGCTCGTAAATTTTCAAGCAACTTTTGCAAACAGAAGCGAAACTTTCAAGCGAAATAGATGGATGCGTTCGCTACCACGTGTGTCGCCCGCGGTGCTCAATGTTTCCGATATCTTTACGTTGGAGTGTGACACTTCTCCTACTCTCTTCTACTCAATCGCTTATTTTATCTTACCCACCCTTGTCAACAGTATAAAACGAAACAACACAAACAAAATTAAAACTAAATTCTCCATAACTTCATACAGATATCCGTGTGTGAGCTCGTTATCCAATTCTCAACTCAGCTTCGCGAGCTTTCCTCCTTGGTATATCATCATTTTGACAGCTGGCGGGACACGTGTCTGCGAAATTCTACGAAAGATTCGAATACAAGGAAGAGAGTTAATTTTAGCGTAGCGGTTTAGCGTGTTAAATGCGGACCACTCTGGTGCTAATCCTGAACATTTTCTCTTGAATGGATTTATACAAGTAGCTCTCGAGCTCCTGCTCGGTCCGCGTAAAATGCAAACCGTCCTGATCCCAGAAGCCCGTTTCCACGATACCGGATTGCCGAAAATCCAAAACTCGGACGTTAAAGCTCCGTCGTCGACCGTACTCATCGATGCTCATCGTTCCTGTGATTTTCCCCATTTTTGACAGCTATAATAACATCAGAATAATATAATCTATGCCAGTGCTCTTATTCCGAAAAAAGTAGAATTGTGATGAAAACTATTACAGCAGCACGTGCAACGGCCGCAAATTATTTTCCAATTTTCGACGCGTACTGTATGTTTAGAAAACTGAAAATATTACAATCCCATCTTCAGTTCATCGCGTTTCTTTATGTAGACTGCATGCATAATTGTATCCTCATATGGAGAAACGAACCTACCTCTCGTATCGCGCTGGTAATGTTTTCACCTGCTTGATACCTCCTACCGTCGTTGCAAGAAAGTGACATGGGTTCAATAGTAATGAATTCTTTGTTGTCGAGATTCCTCGCATACAGGGTCTCCAATGCTTTATCCAGTAAGAATACCGCGTCGTAAAGAACCGCCGAGTTCAACTACATTAAAATTACGTGACGATCAAAACAAATATCTCTTTCCTTTTTCCCGCGAGGATTTTCCACGAAAGAAGAAAATTTCGCCCCGTCGTGAACAAAGTCAAATTGGAAAATCCAAACAAGCCCACATCGACATGTGCTACATGCAAACACAAAGATGAATTACCCAGTTAATCCCTTCTATATCGTTCTCTCTCAAACTGAAGCCGGTGATATTGGCGATAGTGCCGTTGCGTACCTCGAGAATAGGCAGTTTGGACGAATCCTACAACTCCGACGAAGAAAGTATTTCAAAGACTAATAAAAACTACTCTCGCGAGGTTGATTCGCGAGGTTCGCAGTTTTCATATACCTACCAAATATGTTATGATGAAGTTGCAATAGTCCGCTAATAATTTAACTTCTTTCGCCTGATTGAGAACATGGATAAGATTCTGCGGCTCGACGTCGATGATTATGTTGCAAACCGACAAGGAGTTTATTTCCTTGAGCATTGGACGATAATCCGGCCCTTTACCCAACTGCCGTATCGTGATAGGATTGTCCTTACTGCGCTTCAACGTCAAAGTCTTCTGAATACGCGACAGGCCGTCGTCGTTCTCGTAAATTGCCGCAAAGTTTCGCCACTGCATCGACTCGACAACGTCGGCGATAGCCTATGGGGCGTGTGTGCAAAACTTCTTTAATTACATGTACACGAATCGTATCCATATATACATACATACATATATATAATATATATATATATATATATATATATATATATATATATATATATATATATATATATATATGCGGAAATACTCAGACAGCACAAAGACGTTTTAAAAACGTATTGAAAACGTATGTACTGGACATTGTATATATATTTAAAACGTCCATTTCAGATCCACAAACGTTTTTAGAACATTTTAAAAACATCCGTTGTTACTTTTATGGATGTTCAAAAGACATCCGAATTAAGGACTCACCGACTAAAACTGGACGTTCTTAGAACGAAAATAGAATGTTTATAATTTTAAATATTTAATGTTGCTAACCACCAAAAGAATATTTAAAAGACATTTGAAAAAGCATTTTTAAAAACGTTAAAAATAATGAAATACCCAGACAGCACAAAATATTTATAAAATATTTACAAAATATTTATAAGATTTATTTGAATATTTTATAAATATTTACCAAAATATTTCATAAAT